CAGGCGCGCGCACACACACACATATATATAACAGGCTTCCCCGCCATCTTTTTCATCATTAGATTAATATGACTGATAATGAGGTAAATTTGGCATTTTGATAATAACAATAACAACAACAACAATAATAGGAAAACCCACAATATGAAAAGTAACAGCAAAAATATTACTGAGTTCACATGTGCTTCATTTTAATGGAACTTGTGGGAACTTCCTGGTGGATTTTGTGGGTAATCTAAACTTGATCCATACCAGTATCGTATTTGTTTAGCCCATCTTTTTTTAAAAAAAAAAATGAACTCGAAATGGCTTACAACCATATATATGCAATATGTAAGTGAAAAAATGAATGAAAAACCCATCAAACAACAGCCTGGGTGGAGCAGCTTTAACATAACTCATTTAAGTGTGGTTTTATACATATCTACTCAGAAATAAGTCCCCTTTATTTCGGTGGAAATACAGGTTGCATCTAACTGGCAGAAAGCAGCTTTTTATTTCTCCCTCTAATCTTTGCTTAACCAATACAGTGGTACCTCAGGCTAAGAACTTAATTCGTTCCGGAGGTCCGTTCTTAACCTGAAACTGTTCTTAACCTGAAGCATCACTTTAGCTAATGGGGCCTCCTGCTGCCGCTGCGCGATTTCTGTTCTCATCCTGAAGCAAAGTTCCTAACCCAAGGTACTACTGCTAGGTTAGCAGAGTCTGTAACCTGAAGCGTCTGTAACCTGAGGTACCACTGTATGAGGTTACACGGTGGGGGTCTGTCACCCTGTCTGTGGGACCTATGTACCTAAATTCAACGAATGGATGGGAAGGGGCCTGTCCCAGTTTGCCACCTGAGGCCAAATGGGAAGGTGTTACCTGCCAAAGTCTCGCTTACTGGAGTTGAGCAGTTGTTGCAGCAACAGCTTCCAGCAATATTTTGCAAGATCTCTTCTTGCCAGAAGCCATTGCTGCACGACCCCAATGGCAGCAGAGGCAGGCAGGGCATCGTGGGAATCCATCACCCAGATTGCTGGACCAGCCCTGGAGGGGAAGCATCACAGCAGCAGCTGTTGCTCTTGACCTCCAGGAATTCAGAGAGCCTACAAACACACAACTTCTACAGATGTTGACTGCCTTGCCTTGACTGGGCCACTGCAAAAAGCAGAGTTTCTTATTACATAGACACGAGCCTGCAAATCCGTAACTTGTATGCAAAAAGATCCCCTCCATGAGAAAGGCAATGTCAAGGAAATTCTCATCCTTCTCCCTGATGTGTTAGTTTTCTATGTGCATCATTAAAAACAAATAAAAGAGGCCCATTTCAATCATGTGAGCCCTTGCCTGCTCTATAAAGCTGTATAGCCCAATGGCAACATGAACCAAGGTTTCGACTAACAGGGAAGAGGGAGAGGAAAGTCTGACTCTTATGTGCAACGCAACTGGGGAAAAACTACTGGCAATTTTCCAGGTTAAGGATCTAAAAGGTATAGATGTCCCTTCAACCCACTATCTTAAATGTTTATAATCACGGTGGTGGCAGGATTGCCTAAAGCTTGCAAATGGCCGTTTGAGATGGCCACCCGCTTCTCACTGCTCCAGCAACTTTGTTTAAGCTCTTACAAGGTAGAGAACAAGGTCTTGGTTAGGGATGTAATTTTCTCAATGTCAAATTTATCTGCACAGGTTTTTTCTAAAGCCCATCTCACTCCTTAATCTCAGTAAGAAGCATGTTCCCCCACCCCGATCCACTAAAAAATGCAAGTAATTCTAGCATATTAATACATAGAATCATAGAATTGTAGAGTTGGAAGGGACCCATGGGTCATCTAGTCCAACCCCCTGCAATGCAGGAATCTTAGCATCCATGACAGATGTTATGATACATATAATATGAAATGCATATGCACTCCAGGTTTCCTAAAGTAACGAACACATAAAGAGATATATGCAACAGTGCATCTAACAGTTTTTAAAAAGGAATGTATCCATATACTTATAAAATTATGCTGCAGAAATATAGTAAGCATGGATGCTTACTCTTCTATACATATTACATATCATATGTACGTAGTTTTTGTGTATATAATTTTGCATAAAATTATGCCTTAAAAATGCAGCTTGGACCTAAGTTGGTACCCAATATAAGAGGTGGTCCGATGCAAGCAAAGTTGTGTCATGATGGCATTGGCAAGTTCTGTATATAACCCTGTTTTTAAAAGATCCCTCCTCCATCCCTAGTCCTGCAAGGGCAGGGGGACTCAAAGATTCAAGACAGGAGATGACAATCTCATTGGCCAATCTCAGATTTCCCCACCGCTCTTTAACAAAAGACAAAAAAAATCACCAAAAACAGGGACAAAAGAGAGCACAAACTTGCATGTGCTAATTTATATATACATATGCAAATTTAGAAATAATTATTATAATTTAAATAGAAAAACAGTAAATCTAACCATATTGGTGAAGAGTGTGACCAGGTGAGCTGTGCTCAGTCTGCTGGCTGGATGTGAACTGTGCATGGCCAGCTTGCAGCACTTGCTGCTTTCTCTATTCTGGTGGTTATTTAACCAGGCACGATCCAGATATCTCTACAAAGAGAGGACTCTGTCCAACGGAGCAGAGTCTTCTGACAGCCCATCAAATAAGAGAAATGTCCCCTGTCAAGTTGTACGCATGGGTACCTTGCCTCTTTTAAAATGAAAACCTAACAGTAGGTATCCCTGCAATGAGGCTGTTTCTCATAAAGAAAGAAAACCCTACTTAATTTTAGAATGTAATCTTTGCATTGGAAGAAACACTTAAAATCCACGGAAACAAAGCGCTAATGCTGCTAATTCCTGACAAGTTTCAGTAGGGAAGAGTTATAATTTGCTGCTTAGATATGAATGTTACCATCACTTACGATGAGCTCCTGCTGGTTCTTGTATACTTGGCACTGTTGGTAAAACAGAATATACGAAGATTGGCTGAGGTGTGAAGATATTACAGGAAATGCCAAGGGCAAGAATGTTCCCCCCTGACTCGAGTCAACACTTGTAATTAACAATTTGTGAGTGGCATTGCTGGGTGGGTTTTCTTCATCTTGAGAACAGTGGCCAAGTTTGCAGATGATTCAAGAACGCCCCTTGCCTTGTTCATCTCCACCCACATTCTTTGGGCATTGACTCTCTGCATTATGTAAGGGCTGGGTTGAAAAACCTGTACCATAATAGCTTTGGGGCGTTGAGAAAGTCTAAACAATGGGAATATTTTCACTTCAAGAAAATGCTTCTCCTCCCAGAGAAGCCAATGACATCAGTGAAAGAGAAGTCCCAGTTCCGGAAGTTGCCTGGCTGGCTGCAGCAGAAAGGTTATCTAAAGTACCAAAAGAGATGCAAGATGGAGCTTAAGTTGCTTTGTTCATTTAAAGCGGAAAGCGAACTTTGAGAAATGCAACGCGGTGCAATGTGGAACAATGGACCCTAAAAGAAGTTTCAAGAGATGCTTCATAATCATGCAGGCACAGCACTTGGACCTAGGCTAGCAAGTCAACTACTTATTGCTAACTGGCACCTTATGTTTAGCTTTGGTCGGCTGCAGACTGGAGTAAATGCTTGTGTTTTGTGACTGGGACATTGGGCTTGTACAATAGAGTCAAAAATAGGACACACTTTTGGCTTATGTTTAAGAGAAAGGAAGGCAAGTACTAACAAAATCTCCTCAAAGAGTAACTTCTTCTTTGATCAGTATGGTATTTACGCTCCTCCTCTATTTAGTAAAGCACACACATGCCCAGCCTGCCATGGTCATTTCAACCAGCCTTCATCCTCATCCTTTTGCATATCTCTAGATACAACACCCACGTCCCGCCTAAACCTCAACAGGACTGTGCACTGTCCCTCCCCGTTGCTGCTGGCAGCAGAGAACAGCACATGTGCACAAACCCTAACCCTGACAGAGCTAGAAGACTTCTCTATAACCTGAAGTCTGAAAGTGAAGGGGAAACTGAGCTTGAGGGATGAGCCCAGCCCAAACCCAATTTTGCTCCCTGGATCTTTTTAAGTTGCAAAGGGGAATGCACCCGAGGAATACATCTGAGAGGAGGTGCTGCTTTGGAGTCAAATTCTCTGACTGCTATCCTTCATTTTTCTTGTTAACTTTCATATAGATTGCATGTTCTTATGGATCATGCTGCTAAGCATACGTACGGGAGAATAAAGTCCAAACCTGCTGTCTGGTGCGTAAAAGTGTCTCAAATTACAGCAATAGTACATGCCTCTGAAAAGCCAGAAATTATCTCACTCTGCCTCCAAGAAAAATGCTGCCATTGACATATTAAGATGCTAGAGTCAGAGAATTATAGCTTCTTGTTTCCATCAAACAAAAAAATTATATAAGCAGGATACCAGCAGTCATGCAACTGCTGTACATGTTATTGGTGCTTGTTATATTTCAGTTACCAAATAGTTTTCTGAGCTTATGGGAATATTACTGTGTCCATCTCCAGAGTGAATACTTTGGGTATTTGACCACTGAGGTTTGTTGCACATTTGTTCATTCATGATAAAATATTGGGTTCTGGACTGCAATACCAATAAGCTAACCTAGACTTTTATTGTTCTTTCTATTGCTTTTACTGAACAATAATAACACAGGACACTATATCAAAAATGTTACAGTGGGGAAAATATTGACTTTTTTTTTGGCCTGTGTTTGTACTTTCAGCCTTTCCTAACTCTCCACAGATAGAATGCATTTCAAACACGAGTCCAAAATTCATGTTGCTTTCATATATTGTGGAATGTTGATATTTCCAGAGCACACTAAATTAGAACTATAATATTATAGTACAGGATATGAGTTCAGTTATTGTCAATAAATCCATAGCCACCAGTCCTGACAATGACCATACCCTCAACTTAGCAATGAAAACACTGATGTGTGTGGGTGTTGGTGTTGGTGTTGTTTGCGGTGAAGAGTTCTTCTAGTTCATTTAAATTTCTACAAGACTGAAATATACTCAGAGTCGCAAAGTGATTTCATGCTCTTTATTCAGCTCATAGTGGTGAGGAGGAATGAATGAAAGTCCCCTCACAGTATCTGCTTTACATACATTATTTACACAATGGGCCGCACATGATTGGCTAATTCCAGAATTCAATCAGGTTGTGAATTCACTTCTATCTGGAGCATGATTGGGTGGTTCCTGCCAACCAATCATACTGCTGCATTGTTCTAGGACCAATCAGACAGCTGCATTCTGAATCCTATTGTTCTAGGACCAATCAGACTGCTGCATTTTGGATCCTATTGTTCTAGGACCAATCAGACTGCTGCAGTTTGGATCCTATTCAACTCAGTACATAACAAAGACTCATACTTGGAAGCAGAGGTTACTATGCCTATGGACTCCACTGAACGTTCTTAGACTTGTGTATTCAACTCTGTTTGCAACATCAAGAAAGGAGACAAACTCAATGTTGGAATTTAGGAAGGCAGGTTGCAAATAAAATTATTGGTATCCTACTGACTTTGAAATAAACCGTGTTTCCTTCTGTGCTTCATTCCAAAGGAAACATGTACCCTGGGAAATCAGGGTAGTGTGCAGAAATATATATTTCTCAGATACAGTATAGGAATCTGAAAAAAGTTTTCCCATTTCACTGGTAATGTGTCTGTTGACACTGGGCATCTTTAGAAAAAGATAGCAGTGAGTAGAATAGAGTAGAATTTTATACCAAAAGCAAACAAATCAAAGAGAACAAATTTTAAACTCCACAAAGAAGTCTACTTATAATGATTTTTTATGCTTGTTTTGCTAAAGCTAACAATTCAATGTTAGGATAAAATAAAGCTAAATAGGGGAGGTATGTGTCAAAATGAATTTCTATCCTTAAAACTTTCTATCCTTAAAACTCGGAGTCTTCATCACAGTTGTCTAAAACTGACTCCAAATATCTCTTCCTAAAACTGAAGACATTTACTGCCAAAGAGACATTTACTGCCAAAGAGACATTTACTTCCATTCTTCATCATTTGATACAGTTCATATTATCTTTTCACACTGAGACACCCACATAGGAGATAACATTCCCAGCTACAGCTGACTCTTTGTTCATGTAGTCACAATGTAGTGAGATAAGTGTTTGCCTTGTGCAATCAGATGCTTATCCCATCTTCCTTCTGAACCACCCTCACCCTGTCTGTTTCCTCCAAAATTAGTCTTCCAATGTAGTATAGTATATTTGCATATGCAATCAGGGAAACCAATGACAAAAGTAATACACCACTCAATTCATCATCTAATTGTTTCTACTTAAGTTTAGTGAGACTGTTTCATAACCATTTAATTGATTTTGCAGAATTTGTTTTGCTTTTTAATTCTTAATTGGCTAGTCCTACTCAGAGTAGATCCCTTTGGGTTGTATACAACTAAGTTTTATTCAGAGTAGCCTAGTGTCGGATACAACCCATCAAAACTAATGAACATGATTAACTTGGGTCCATTAATTTCAATGGGTCTTGAAGCCATCGCTCCTGATCCTCTCCAATGGCGGCTGACAGTAATAGCAGGGAAAACTCTTTGTGGTGGCCTCCAATTCATGCAAAGAGTTCAGGTTCACAATACAGCTGGTGTGTGGAGAGGGTCACCAAGGGGATGTTGAGCTCTTTGGTAAAAGTGATTATAGACCAGCTCTAAGAATACAGCCAAAATTGAAGAAAGGTAGTAGGGAAAGTGGAAGCTCATAGTCCCTGTCTAATAGCGCTCATGTCTCTTTAGGCAGACCCACCTCCCGCTCTGAGAATCACGTGTTTGGGTAGTTCTGAAGCAGAGAGAGATAATCCATAACTGCATTTGATAGGCAGCTTTAAAACTTCAACAAAGAGAAATATTATCCACCATGAAATTCCACTGCCGTTTTCCATAAGAGTATTATATTCCGTTCCCCTTCACTCAGCCTCACAACAAAGAAAAATCTGCTGAGTCACACCTCAGAAATCACAAGTAGGAGGAATTAGGCTCAACTCTTATATTTACTTTCAAGAGACTACGGGAAATAATGAAAGATGGATGCTAAGGGAGAAAGAGGAAGCACAAAGGATTAGAACGGCTAGGCCTTTTCCAATATCCCCCAACCGATATTTCATAAAGATGTACTTTATTTATTTTTTTCTATCTGGCATACCTTTTGCTGGCTGACCTAGTACAAATCAGAATGACAAAAGCAAAACTAAATGATATCTTCAAACGTTGGCTTTGGAATGCTGGCTCTTCCATACCCAGGAGTCACGGAAATATGGTATTGTTCAGTAAAAACATACAATGTAAGAATAATCAAAGGCTACATGACCCGCAGCAATTTCACACTTATTTCCCCTTAAATTAGTCTCTAGTCAACATAAAAAAGGCAGCTGCTGGAGAACAACAGACTGGTGTGCAAAAGACATGTAACATTCATCAACTGTCAATGCTTTCCTATTTCTAAAGCACAGCCATCTGCTCAAATGCTCACATTAATTTAAAGTCTGCCAGAGTACGAAATACAGATTAATAGGAACAAATGGAAATCCATTTCCCGGTCCCAGCTCAGTTCCACGGAGGATGCTTTATTTTCACATGGCAGAACATCTGGGTGTTCTAGCACATGGCTTGGTTCGCAGTCACCTGGAGGTCTTTGATCTGTTGATTCTAGGATTCAGGGGCCCTGATGTACCACTTTTGAACCTGGTGTCCATCTACTAAGCCACTCCACCATATTCTCAGCACTCAGGAATGCCTGCTGAATGCTGTTCAGTTTTCTTCTCTTCCACTCAGCTTCATTCCTCTGCCACTCTTCACCGACTCTTGCTAACCCATCTACCTAACATATACTTCTAGGCTGCCTTAGAGCTCTTGCATGAATAGAATACAAGCTCACACAATGGATCTATCTATCCCTTTCCCGTCGCACCACCCTGTAACCTCCTACCAAACATTGTGAGCTGTGTTATACAAAGCTACAGTGGTGTGGAGTGAATTGTCCAAAACTGGGTGCAGAAATATTATACTCCACGTGCACAAGATTCTTCCACTAGACGTCAGGTGATTCCACGCTTCCACTGTGGCCCTGAACATCTCAATCCACAATGACTGGTAGGTCCCCTAAGACTTCTGCATAGGCTTTGGCTGTGGGGAGGAGGAAAAGAAAGATCTGTTGTGTGAACTGCCTTGTTTTGTGCAGCGTTGGCAACAACCCTAACAGAATGCTCTCGGTTCCTGCTCTTTGCATTCTCTCCCAACTTCTAATTGCCTTTGCATTTTTTCCAATCTGGCTATTTCTTTCCTGCAAGCACCTGCTGAAAATGTAAATGGGCCTGAGTCTTGCCTTCCTAGCCTCCTTTCCAGAATCAACAGCTGGTACCTTTCAACAGAGCACCGAAATGCTGCTTGTGGCATACCATGGCTTACAGGTTGCTCTACTTCTGGTCCGTTCAATTTCTAATACGTATGAAATGTCTGAATATCTGAAATGTCTGAAATGTCTGAAATGTCTGAAATGTCTGAAATGGAATAGCGAGATGGCTGTCACTGAAGCCAAACTCAGGGAGGTTTTGGGTGCAGCCATGTGTGCTGGAGTCAGGAAGCACAAAAGCTGTCCCACTCTGAGATTGGCAGAATCCCTAAAAAAATCAAATGCAACTAAATCTACAGTCCAGGTAAGCATGAGTTTCTAAAGGCTATTGAGAGTTACTACTGTAGCCTTGTATGGAAATTTGTGATCATGACACAGGCATTACTTATCCCTTTCAGCCATTTTGGTAAGTTCTGAACCAGGCATAGGCAAACTCGGCCCTCCAGATGTTTTCAGACTACAACTCTCATCATCCCTAGCTAGCAGGACCAGTGGTCAGGGATGATGGGAATTGTAGTCCCAAAACATCTGGAGGGCTGAGTTTGCCTAAGCCTGCAATCACTACGCTGCTGGGGGTGGGGAGGACATGGCAGCAGCTGGAAAGAATCCAGAGAGAGACAAAAGCAACTGAAGGTATAGAGAATATGTTATATATTTAGCAGGGCTGAAGGAGCCAGAGTAACTTAGAGAAGAGAGGGAAGGATGGGGACTTCTGAAAAGACTTCAGACACACAAAGGGAAGCCTTGAGAGTACCTGAGGAAACCCAGCCAGATGGGCAGGGAATTGTTGTTGTTGTTGTTGTTGTTGTTGTTGTGTTATACGGTGGGCCTACCTCTTTTCTACCAAGGCCAATAATGATGATGATAACAGGCTCAAGCTACAACTGAAGCATTTTCTTGCTGTGTCCCAGTTGTACCATTCCGACACACACGTTAGTCTACACACATACCATGATATTTTGGCCCACCTGGCTTTCCATTCCAGAAGCTGCATAAGTTAGCTTTCTGGCACAGTAATTCTAGGTTCCAGTTGTGTATCACAAGCAGCAACCTGCCACAGGCTTTTCCCCTCCATAAACTGCTTGCATTAAAATTGTTCTGGTCATGCATCCTCTGTGTGGCCTCCTCTTCTTGATGTTACACAGGTATTGTTCATGTGCAGGCTTCCTTTTGCAGATGTCTGCACTCCTTGTGCTGGCATGAGGAGGCAGGGGTTGCGGGGTATGTGATACCAGAGAGAGTGGAGCTATTATTCTCATTTGTGCAGCACCACAAAGCATATGCTATTTCCAGAATGTATAATACTGAAGATAATACTTCAGTCGCTAAGGAGAATTGGGAGGTTGAATAGCTTGGTTTGACTTCATCCTTGAAGGAGCACTCCACCGTCGTCTAGTGAGAGTGACAGTTGCCAACCAACCCAACCTCTGCTGCCTTGTGGCTATACTCATTCTTAAAAATGGCTTCAGGAGTAAATCGCAAGGAAAAATCCATACCTGCTGCCTTGCAGGACCTTTTCGGGAGAAGAAAAGGCTAAGGAGTAAACCCTACACAAATCCAGAGTGGAGTCCCGAAGATGATTGGATGGCGTCTTGTATGCTTCCTTCTGGCGACTCCTGCTGCCAGGCTGCTGTGAAACATCTTGCGCTGCTTTCCTTTGGACCACATCAGTGAGGCCAAGGGGGGGGGGTCTTGTCATCTGGGCAGCACAAAACCTTCCTACACACTGCACCCCAAAGAGGTCACTTCCAGTTTGAAGGGTACTGCTAACACAGCAAAAACAATGTGGGAGGCAGCAGTTACGAGTTGCCGGTCTCTGCAGCCACAGCAGGTACTGTGATTCTCCAGTGATTTGACTTCACCCCCAGAGGTGCACTCCATTGTCTTGAGACAGATGGATGCCAGCAACAACCCTTCAAACTGGAATTCTATGCAATGGAAGGGAATGTATCCATTTATTTCCTTGGGATCTTACAGAAATAGCAGTTAGCATGTTGTTTAGGTAGCTGCTGGCAGACTGTAACATACAACCAGGCCATGCCTGATCTAAAGCGGTTGTGCCTGCTTGCCAAACATCACTGCTTCTTGAGAAGGGGGCAAAGAGAGGGTGAGTGAGAAGGAGAAAGCAGAAAAAGACATACAGAAACACATAAATATAGGGGAAAAGTCAAAGTAGACCCCATGTTAGAAGATGAGATTATAAAAATGAAGTTACAAAATGGCTGAATTAGAAAACGGCCATTCAAGTACTTTTGGCAAACAGAATGAATCTTATTTTATAATTAAGTATAGACATCAAATTAGGGTTTCATCAAGCATCTCCTCCCCACATTACAGGTTTGCCACTGCAAACATCCACACATCTGAGTCCCCAAACCACCAACCCCCCCCCCCCCGGTGAAATGGCTCCTGTTTGTCAGGGGCAATTCCACCCCCGGAGACAGGGAAATCAGTGGGGGGAAACAAGCAACACATTAAGAGGTAATACGTTACAAAGAAACTAGTGAAAGTAAGGGACACAGAAGAGTTCTGGAAGACATATATTCAGAGGAAAGCACAATACAGCAGTTGCCTGCAAAGGGAAAACATTGGCTCCGCTTTGCTGCTGCTCCTGCTACTAGCAGTTCCCGCTTGGCTTCTGCCCACATGCTGCTCTGCTTATCTATAGCGTTAGGGGCTCCATTGTTGCTCTGCACACAGACGACACAGACGACAATAGCGCCCGACTGCCATGGTTATAATCTCTGAACCACAGCGTTTCATGCAGATCTGATGGAGATTCAGGCTCAGACCTATCAGTCACTCCTTTGTCGTCTAAAAATAACTCTGGTTTAATTGCAACTAGCTACAGTTTTCTAATTCTTTGTGACCCCAGCCCTCTAAATCTATTATCCAGAGACAGTCCAAGTAAATCCCGAACAAAGGTGTGGGTCGCAGGCAGCTGGCCATCTGTCTGCCAGGTGCTCTGTGGCTTAGCTTGAATGAGTGCAGCCTCCCTGCACTCTGCTCGCCACTCTAAGATCCAGGCGCAGCTCCTCTTTTCATTTGCTAAGATCAATATTCTGCTGCCACCGTTCCAGGATTGATCTGACAGGATGGTGCTTTTAAAAGATACCATTTCCGATTATCAGCTTCGCCATTAAACCAACTTTTTGTTCCAAATGACGAGCTGTTGGGTTTTGTGTTTGTTTTAGAATAAGCCCACTGCACATCGCATAGTGAATGAAATAAACATCTAATTTAGGGTTGCCATGTTTCAAATTCCGGACAGTTGGCAGTCCTAATTTAACTTAAACAGCAGTAAGTACAGAATATATAAAAGGTTAAAAATAGAATATTGTGGGAAAGGCCGTCAGCTAATTCTGATCAGGGGCTGCAGCAAGTCATTCTTCCAGCTAAGGTATCATATTCTTGGTTTTTCAATAGTTAGTGTCACCCTGGAATGGATTCTCGCCTTAAGTAAAGAGAATTAACATTCTTACTACATACAGGTATCTCTGCTGGTCATTAGCTTGATTAGGAACATCTGGAAGTCACAAAGCACTCAGCTAGTTTTCAAGTTCACTAAAATCATTCTGGGACTGAATTTGGGTTGCCGTATTCTGAGGAGCAAAAACCCAGGACCCCCCACACACACCACCCGGCATCTCTGTTGCCCCCTCCCTGCCGCTGACCCCTTCCTCGCCTGCCTGCTCACTCCCCCCCCCCCCGTCCATCCCCCCTTATCTTTGCTGTCTTCGGCTTCCCACTCAGGAGATCCTGCCAGGCCTTGGAAACGTTGCGCCAGGCCTGGCAACTGCCTGAAACAATAGGAGGCCTGGCGCAACCCCAGGTAGGCTGTGCAAGGTCTGCTAGCTGCTAGGAACAACACGAGGCCTAGCGTGGCCCCAAGAAGGCCACGCAAGGCTGCCCGATGTGGCGCTTCCTGTTCTGGGGCACAGCACCTTCTGAGCATGTG